ATTACTAAATAGAACGTAGAAACTTTTCATATTTTCTTCTTTTCATTGTAATTTATTTTTTCATTCACCACAGTATATGAAATAAAATGTAGTCACTCTAATGAATGAAATTAGATGCCCTGGTGATTCTATCTATAAGAGATAAGTATTCTTTCAATGTGCACTGTGGTATGTAGCTTTGTGTATGTGGTTGTGAAATTAAACAACAATCAGAAATCACAACATCCCTTACCCAACTCTACTAGTATGATAAACAAAAAAAAAATCACATATTATAAAACAATATATTTGACAATCCATTTCTTTATATATATATATATATATTTACTAAACTCTTAGCAGAGTCCTTGAGACAACTTCTTCCTCTGACTGTAGTATATGTCAACGAGTTCCCTGTCTTGCAAGTAATTTGAAATTTCCGTTTTACATAACTGTGTAGACTTGTCTTGTTCAGGAAGTTACAGAGTTGGAGTTGTACAGTCTTGCCAAAGATAATTGTGCTTGTCAAGTTGAAATTTGCCTCTTGGCTGTTCTGATTAAAGGCAAGTTTTACAGACTTTGGAATAACTCTCCAGAGTTTGAATTTGTTCCATGTCGATATTTCTGTGAGTGAGTAAACATGTGGATGGATTTAGATTTTAAACATTTTTGTCTGTTTCTATAAATTATAGCCTGTTTTATCTTCTCTCAGAAATTGGAATTCTAAAGATATTTCTTCCTGTTTGTCATTCTTGCTCCTTGAAATAAGAAGTTCTGAATGCAAATGCTTGTTATAATTAAACTATGAAAATGAATGTCTGTAATTTGTAACAAAGTATAGTGTCACCAGTTGTAAGTAAGAGTGTGCTAAAAATGTTTCTCTTTGATCAAAAGGGGAATAACATAGAGCTATGAAATGTATATGCTATTTCACATATTCATTTCACAGTTCAACATACTTAGCATATTACTTTTTCATGTTTCTTTTGACTCTAAGGAAGAATATTTTTGATGTTGAAATATTGTTCTGTGGCTACTACCACCTCTGAATCATTTGAAAACTTCATCTTTTCCAAACTTCTTTTAAGGTTTGAAAGCAACAAATAGACGAAGCAAGAAATAATGAATAGATTGGAGGAATGAGTAGTTCAGACCACCAAATTCTTGCTGTTTTTATTTTCAACTGTTTTAATTGGCACAGCAAGTTACAGTAGTATTTTGCATTAACTGTTTATTTCTTCAGAACTTTGTTAGTCATCAAAATACATTCCTTATTCCCCAAAACTGTTATCATAGCCTTTTCTGCTGACTTTTGGGGTTTTTCATGAAAAATATAAAAATCCATGAATGACTAATGATGTAACTTCAAAGAAGCTAATAAGTTGATCCAGCCATGGATTGATTCAGACTGTTTGCCACCCTCATCATCATTAAATGGATTTGAGTTTTTTCTAACTGAAATGTTATAGAGTTAGGAGAAAGTATTAAATAAGAACAACCTTTTAAAAAGAAAGTTTAGGGATTTTATTAGGTCTAAGATTCAGTTTTGTCATATTTTTTTTTCTCTTTAATTATGATCTAAGTATTTTTCCTCAGATATGATCCCTCAAACTCTTTTGTTAGTTTGGCTTTTGGCCACAATAACTGGACATTTTCTGGGTAGTGATCTCACTGCCCTACCACAGAGTTATATAAACTACACCACTGCTTGATTTATTGGTGTTTTACCAATTAGCTGGCACTCTGTAAATCTGTCATCACTGCTCTTTTTATCAGAAAAACACAGTATTTGAAACCTTCAAATGAACATTTGTTTGAGCAAAGCCATTTAATAATTGCCTAACTGTTTGATGTGAGAAAATGTATCCATAATTAAATGAAGTATCATTTGAAAATTTACCAGCTGAATACCTTCCAATTTTTTCATTAGAGTTTCTGTCTCCTTTCTCCTCTTCTGTATGTATGTGTGTCGTGCACTAGTCACTAAAATTTATATTACTTGTACATGTATGTCTATGTGTGAGGAACCTTTTCTCTCACCATCTCTTTTCCTCTTGTTCTAATCCCCCCCTTTCACATTTACTGCACCTCCTTTTCCTTCTCCACACTAATCTACCTCTTGGTTTTTTTTTCCCCTACTTGTCCCCTTCCTTTTTTCCGTTGTGCCAATCTCCAACATTGGTTTAAATCCTACCCCCCTGCCCTATTGCTCTCCTTCCTGTTTTATATAGCTGCTTTCCATACCTCAATTCCCCCCACCCCAACTCCTTCTCCAGATTTTATTGAAATCTGGCACACAGTTTGAATGGTAGCCAAACATGTTTTCATATAGTGTCACAGGTTTTCATTTTGTGGAATCCAATTTCTGCTGAAACTCCTAAGGGGCTGGGGGGGATGTATTAAAAAAATAAAATGAAACTGCTTATTCTAACAACATTAAAGTGATGGCATTAATTATCTTTTTTATTTTTACTCTAAATAATAAATTACTTTTCTAAAGCATTAAATATTTGACCATTTCAATTATTTATTTTGGAACAAATGACACAAGATAATAATATTCTTTTAATATCTTGATTGCTAAGCAGGTTTGGCTTTTCTTTCAGATTGATTGGAATATTTTGATGCCAATTGAACTTGCCTCTGGATTGTTAGATGATAGAATTTATTTTGCATATTGTCCTACTATGTTTCATAATGATTACTATAGATTAAAATTGCTTGAATTCCTGAAATAGAGGGAACAGTATTTTCAATTTAGCATAACATTGATTTCATCCTTGATGTTATCCCTATATTTTTGTTGATGGTTTTCTTGGCCTCCCTCCTTGTTTGAGATGAATTGTCATTATTAAATGATTTATTCAGACTAATATCCTCCGAGGATTTTAACAATATATTTTGGCTGATGTCTTTGGCCCTCAGCTATATAATTCATTTGGTAAGTACATCAAACTGACAGCTGTCTGGGTTTCCAGTGCTCAGTGGAATGATAGCCGGCATTAATGGGTATGTGCTAGGGCTGTTTTGAACTTCCAGTATTTGTGTATATAATAATTTCTACAAGAAAAAGGCTTGCCACTTAGTTGATTGATGTTACCTTCAACATCTTGACTCCAGAGTTTCATAGATGAACTTTCTGGAAATTACTCTATCCACTCATCAGTGGGTATCAGCAATTGACTGCTTATATTTGATTTATCTTTCTTATATGCACTTTTCATTGTTGCAATTTAAAAAAAAAAATGTGTATGTGTACATGTAGAATGTTCTTATTATTTGTCCTTTTTGTTGCATTTTCTATTTTACACTCATTCTTTAACCTTTTCTTTTTTCTTTTTTTTTTCTTCTCTTTTTTTCCCTCTTTCAGTTGCTGCCATTTTGACTACCGGTTTTCTTGACATAGACTGCTGTTAATTTTTGAGTGTTCTAGTGTTTTCTTGAACTAGGAAAATTGTATTTCATTTTTTTTCAAATAAATAATTAATTTTAATGCTTACCACCACACTGAAGAAGGGTTTAGAATTTAACTGGATGAAATTTGAATACTTTCACAATCTTTTTCAGTCCTTAAATATTATCTCTGCTGATTTCATATTTTTTTCAATTCGGAATATATTGTATGTTTATGAGCATGCTTTCCCACTATGTGAGAAGTGTTTCCTCCTGATTAAGTTAGATGTGTAGGTAGTGTTTTGGTAAACTGAATTCAAATTCCAGGCTATTCTGTTACATCCATTTTTGCAAACTGTCCTTAGGAACGGCATGAATCTATCTCCTATCCTCCCAGCTATAAGTTAAATAGCAATTCAGACTGGGCTCTCTAGCCTTGGGTAAGCAATCAGTCTAGGAGAAACACCTCTAAATTCAAAACTGACCTGAAGAGGGATGAGCTCCATTAGGCGATCTTGTTCTAGATGCACTCATTTCTGCTACTGCTGCAGTACATGTGGTGCATCTATAATCCTAATGCATTATGAGGCTTGGGATCATGATTTTTTTTTTTTTATCTTTGAAAAGCAAAATGTATGGTAAGGACACCGTGTTTACATTTTAACTTAAATCTTTTTTGGTGTGTGAAATAGTGTCATTTACAAGCAATCAGTTTTTCTAAAAACTGACAGTGTTACTCTTTATATTACTTCAACTATTTCAGGAAAAATGTCTTATGGTCCACTTTTTCTATTCTTTTGTCTAATATCTGTATTGAAATATTTAAAGATATTCATGTTTATATATATATTTACATGTAGTCAAATTTGGAAATCTTTTATTTGTATTTATCATTCATTTTTCTATTAGTTTTTATTTTCACTTATTGTTTTTAATCATAACACCCTAGTTTTTTCTATGTCGACAGCATGTATCTGAAAATAAGTGGATCCTCTCTAGTATGGACAACACACTATTTCTTTGATAAGAAAGGTTTCTACCAGCTGGCACAATTCAATTTAATTGAACTTGATAAAAATGATGCAACAGAAATAAAATGAAACAAAAACTAGTGAAAATTGGACATCTATTCTCCACTTATTGATAATATAAAACAGATTTGTTACCACTCCTTCTCCATCTTTTGAGCAGGAGTTGAGGTTTATCCCTTGCTTCCTGTTTAGGATTGGGTTTCTGGTTCCTTCTAAAGTCTTCTATTCTCTTTCGCTCCCAGTAACCCTTTGCATCTTAGTGGCATTATCACCTTCCTTGGGGTGAAATGATTAAGAAAATATGATAGCATAATTGTGATGGTAAAAAGCAAAGAGTAAGGTTAAGCAGTAAGTAAATGTAAGCATTAAATGGGGGCACTATAATTTTTTCTCTTCATTGTGATTTGTGTGTGATGTTTTTTTTTTTTTCTTGTCTTTTCTTTCTGGCTATTGTTTGCTGCCCCAAATATCTTTTTGAAACATATGTTTCACAAATTCCCAAGGTCAAGAAGAAAAGATAAATATTATAGCCTTTACTCTCTACAGTCAAATATTCATATGGTTTAGTCATTGAGATAGTTGTATATTTTTCACTAGTTCCTGTGGTTGGTGTTCAAGCCCAGATGAAAGCCAGGATTTTCAAATGCTGATTTTTCAAAGCTGGCAAGCTATCTCCACTTGGTGCAACACAATCTTCATTTTACAGTATTTGACTCTGTATTAGATACAGATTCTGTAAGTATCCAGTTTCTTATGTGTTTGATTTTTATGTCTATTTAAATGTGACAACAACACTTTTTATTTCCATTGTTTTACTGATAAAGAGTGGAAATTATATGTAGAATTTTTTGAAAAGCCAGTAACATTTCAAAATTTTTGTGATTGATGGAAATATACCAATTTATATAGCTTTTTATTTTTAATAGATACTTGTTGGACAAGGTGATGTTTAGCAGGTTTGGGGGAGCAGTTTATTAAGATTGAAATTACTATCAATAACAGTAATACTAACCATTACATAATGAATGTGAAAAAGCAACTAAGGAAATATATCCTGCTGACTGTACTATCAATATAACAGGGTAAAACTGTAGAGACCTAAAATTTTGAACTAGCAAGAAGTTAAAGATTTGGAAGACAACCTATTTTTCACAAGACTTAGCTTGGAAGAAGGCATTAAAACTACATTGATATGATCATATCACACATTGGATTACATAAACAGAAGTGAGCAACTGAAAATTCTGCATAAGATGAGTCAAAATTTCACTTGGAGAATACTCAGGAATAGAAGAGTCTAAAACATTTAGAGGCCAGAGATACAACAATGATGATAATAGTGTGTTAAACGGTCATGGTACATTAACAAAAGCAGCATCAAAATCTCAGGCAATATCTGAAAAAGTCAGTTTGACATAATAAAGAATAATCATTTTTGAATACATTAAAAGAATTTCTGAAAATTTGTATTTCTGAGATGAGTTTCTTTCTTTCTTTCTTTTTTTTTAAATCACTTCACTCCAAGCAAGACGATAATGCAACTAAGATGGGCTACTGGGGAGTGAAAGCAAATGAAAAAAGACTTTAGAAGGAACTAGAAACCCAATTTTAAACAGGAAACAAGCAACCTCTTCTCCTATTCAAAAGACTGGAGAGGAGTGTGAACAGAGACCCATGTACTCCTATTACCTATTCAATGATTTTTTTTCTTTTAGACATGCCTCTTTTGTTACACAGTGGTTCACTGCTTGATTAGTTTAGGACACTCATGTTGTCAAGTGGACTGTAACTGATTTTATCTGTGCATAGAGCAATGGCAGTTTTATGACAACCAACAATAAAATTGAGATTTGAGATCATCAAAGCAACCACCTGCTGTCCAAAATTAGGGGAAAGAAATGGATTATATGAATAAATAAGCAAATAAAAACAAATTGTGGTCAAGTGCTACTCTACTGGAAGGTAAGGAATTCTAGTTATGGCTTATATCATCAATCTGCATTCTAGATAACAAGCCATCTGTCAAAATGTGAAGTGGGGGGCAGTGGTAGCGACAGTTGCAGTCAGAGATGGGCAACAAGAGCAGTTAGAGTTCTTGCTGGTGAAAGGGAAGATCTAGTTTGTTTGAGAAAGGATGAAAGAAGCAGCAAAGATGTTCCAAGTGTCACTTACCTACCTCTAGACAGTACCAGGTGAATCCATGAATAAAGAGCCCAGTATGAACAGGATTTGTCTTTTCTTGCTATAGTGATATTTCATTTACTATTCCTACCATTTTCATTCAAACTGTCAACACTTTAAATAAATAGCTACTGCCATGTTAAAAAATGCAATTCTGTAATATTTTAAACTTAAAGTAAATAATATTTGTTTCAAATCAGATAATTTAAACTTTAAATCAGCTAATATTCTTTAAATAAAGTTTCAGAAAAGTATATTTTATTTTTGGAAGACTTAATAAAGAGAATTACCTTCTGATGAAAGGTGGCTAAAAATGGTGCTAAAATCAACAATTTCAGCAATTTCAAAACAAAAAATTCTTCTAGTCAATTTAAATTAGTTTTGAAATATAGTAACATATTTTGCTTGTTGAAAATATTAAATTTAATTGATTAACTTGGAATTAAAACTAAAATAAAAGCTTCAAGAAAGATTTTTCATTATTAAAAATTCATTTTAAACCATAGGAGATATCTAGTGTAAAGGATCCTGTGAATAGATTACTGTTAGCAGCAGTATCCTCTTTTCTTATTGAGAAATATTTAACTATATATTGGATTGCCTCAACAAATAAAAACAAAATATTTCTTTTTTAAATATTCCTTCCTTGAGAAAAATGCTTCTAATTAAATGTATAGAGTTAACACAGTGCTCCTTTCTTTTTTTTCTTTTTTTGAAATGTCAATTCACTTTTGTTTAGAAACATGTCAAAATCTTTCAGATCAATAACTTTTTCTGTATATATAAATACAGGTTTCTCAATTAACTTCTATATTTATTTTGAAGTTCCTCAAATCATGAAACACATTGTAAAAATAAATTTTCCTGTTGTTCTTCCATTTGTTAAATAGAAGAAACCCTTCTTGATAAGTTTTGCTGCTCAGAGGACCCAAGTTCAGTCCTAGGGCAAAGTAATGAATATACTATATAGCCTCCTATATAGGAAAATCAGCAAAAAAATATACCATTCAATATTAAAACAACAAATTTAATAAAAACAATGTCTCGGCTGGACATAATTATAAATTACCCTATTTATAAGTCTACAATAAGTGAGTACTTGTAAATGGTAAATCAAAAGTCAGATGAATAAATTTCTACCATTTACAGCACAATGATGGATATTTCCTAATTATTTTAATTGTTATTTATAAAACACATAATCACTAAACCAAAAAGATAGATTTTTGACCTCAAACTGGATGACAAGACTGTTGGATATCACATTTAACTTGTATTCTATTCTCATCTATACTCACCATTATATGAGTCATCCAATTCAGTACCAACATATCTTTTCAGTTCAGTTTGGAATTTTCTTCACCTAATTAACATGACAAACAGATGTTTTGTTATGTTACTGAACTGTTATTGCATATCCCCTTTTGTCAATAACATAAGGGTGCACACAATATAGAGTGTGACAGTTTGTTTAACCTTTGCTAACTCAAAAAGAACATAGTTTGCTTACTCAATGTCATTTACCTTTTCATGACATCTGTTATCAAAATACTGTTTCAATTTAGATCGCTGTGTAGCATCAGCTCATTTTGCCTGCTTCTGAAGTTCACACAGTTTTGAAAGGAGAGCAGGAATTTCATTCTGCAGCAATATACACATCAGAAGCCTTGCTATGATACTAGGATGAAATAATATGGCATATTGTGATACATGAGCAAAAAGTGGAATATCTGTGCTCTCCAATCTCTGCCTTGTTGTCATTCTTATTTCTTTTCTGAAATGTAAAGATCTCTGTAAACATTAATTTCAATTCCTGTTAGCAACAGTTTCCTTTCTTCTCTTTATGCAAATTTTCTGGGTACATGCAAATTACTTCAACTAATAGAAGAAACTCCTTCTCAAGCTGTCTCACTCTGAGACTGGAGCAGTAAATACATGTAATTACTGAGTTAATTTTTGAGGTTATTATAGCATAGCGAATATAAATTTTATTAGAGGAGGTGACGGATAGATTTTTGTTTTTAGATAATGGTGGTGTTGTAATTATGGATGCTGGTACTTACAATGAAAAAAATAGCATCTCTACTAGTATTTATATATATAAAAAAAAAAGAAGAATGCATTAAGGAAACTCAGAAATTTAACCATGCAATCAAAAATCTTATAAAAAACTGAAGACAATTTATGCCCACAACTAGTAGTATCATACTAAGGTTCTATAGCTTATCAAAAGCACAAAAACCCCAAATTCTAATGTAACCATTTATCTCTGGTTTAGGCAATGACTCCCACAAATTAAAAAAAGCTTTTAGCATGTATACACACACACACACACACACACACACACATATATATAGGGTGTTCCAATAACTTGGACTAATTTTAGATGTGAATTAATTTTAAGCATTGAATGATTTTTTTTTCTTTTTCTTTCAGATTTAACAGCTTAAGTCTTTGGCAATTTCAACCATGGAAAGATTAACAATCAAACAACGTGTTAAAGTTATTGAAGCCTATTATGAAAATGGATGTTCAAATTTATAAATATACCGCCCAATGATTCCACTAGCAAAAAATGCACAACAAACAGTGACCTTTTGTGGATGTAGTGGCTTTCCAACAATCTTTTTTGGATTTTCATCAGACTAAATGTAACAGTTCTGCTTATTAACAAATCCACAAAGATGAAAATGGGCTTCATCACTAAAGAGGATTTTTTACGAAAAATCTTCATCAGCTTGTCTTTGCTTGTGGACCCAATTGATGAATGTATTGCACTGCAATTGGTCAGCAGTTTCAGTTCTTGTGTCACTTGAACTTTGTAAGCATGTACAGACAAATCTTTTGTCAAAATTTGATGTAACGCTGTTGTGGAGAGGTTCAATTCCTGGGCGCGATGACAAATAGAAGTGTCTGGATTTTCGGCCACATTCTCGTGCACTGCAGCAATGTTTTCAGATGAACAGCGTAAACGAGAACGTAATTGTGTTGTCACATCTGCCACCGACCCAGTTTGTTTGAATTTACAAACAATTTTTCCAATTGCACTCTTGGTTGGTTGATTATGTTGACCAAAAAAATTGCAAAGTGCACGAAATGCATTTCTGTTTGAACATCCATTTTCATAATAGGCTTCGATAACTTTAACATGTTGTTTGATTGTTAATCTTTCCATGGTTGAAATTTCCAATTTGTTAAATCTAAAAGAAAAATGTCATTAGATGCTTAAACTTAATTCACATTTAAAATTGGTCCAAGTTATTGGAACACCCTATATTATTGAAATGTCTATGAAAAAAAATATGCATATATAGATTCAGTTTTACTGTTATTAATGATATCACCTTCAAGTGTCTTGAAATTGATTCCAGCAGGCTTAGAAATGGAATGATTTGTCAAACGCCCAATTCTAATAACACACAAAACTAATAACCTTGATAATGATTGTAGTAATAGTCAAAAGTAATTGGCTGGATATAATAAAAGAACTTTGAAAAGTTAATTCTGATATAAAATGATTTAGCCAGAAGTTTTAAAAAAAAAAACCCCAAAAAAAACACTAAATAAAAAGTTGTGTGCACATAGACAGACCTTGGTATTTTTTTTAATAAAACTTGTATGAAAGAATTCTTGCTGCCTAAATACGCCCTATTTTATATATATATATATATATATATATATATATATATATATATATGTGTGTATATAAGCAAATATATGGATATAGATCCGACAGTATGAAGAAAAATATACGGAAAAAAACAAACAAAAATCCTAATATGCGGTTTTAATGTTAATATAATGTCAACGTCGGATGTTTCGGTCTAGTAGACCATCTTCAGGACATATTCATAAAACATAATTAACATTAGACTATATTTAATTTAACATGAAAAGACGATGGACATAAGAGTAAGATTAATCAAAACGGACAACTGAAATTTTTCAAGATCAGTGTTCCGTTTCAGTATGATCACGTCGGCGTCACGTGGTCAATGTTGTGAAAATGTATTCCTAAAATATAGTATTTTGAATGAAAAATGAAAAGAATTTTATTTTAATCTAAAACTTATATGTACGTTTGTTGAGCATTAATCTTGCTAGAAAAGGGGAAATATTAAAGAAGCCAGGTCTAGTATAGACCTGGCTTTAATATTTTTTTTTTATATATTTTTTTTTATATATATATATATATATATATATATATAGTAAAGTAAAAAAAATCATTGTTATATAATCCAAGTGGATGCTAGTAATATAAAAAATATTAGAACTGATCTACAAAAAAGAGCTTGAAGTATTTTATTTATACAGATTAATATAATTAATAATCAAAGAAATCCTTTTACCTTATATGGGGAATATGCTATTTCGGCAGATGACAAAAGTGGTTGTCTGTCTTTTCAACACTGGTATAGAATGAAGTTCATGTCTGTAAGGTTAGAGGAAGCAGGAAGTCACAATTAACTGTGAGGAATTGATATTGGGAGCTAAATGGTCAACCTAAACCATAACTTGCCCAAAATACCTAATACAGACTTTACATTTTTCACCATTTCAGTTGGACACTAGGCATGAGACAGGTTAAGGAAGGTGGTAGGTCTTGTCTAAGCAGTGAATCAAAGTGATCAATGCCTAGCCTATCCAGTGTAAAAGAAAAAAAACATGCTTCACACACACACACACCTTCAGCTGACTAGTGACCAATGGAGATTCAATGACACCATTCAGTATTCTCACAATTTTGACTTGTGGTCTGTATTAAATGTAAAATGTCAAGTGAGTATTGTTTTAACTACCATATTTCCAATGTCACTGACCCTCTTGTGGTTTGATTCTTTTCTGAAGTAGCTTGCTACCAATATCTTTTCATCACTTATGTACTAAAATGACTAATTTGGACTTGCACAAATCCACATCCCCTCTTCAAAGGCACAAACAAGTATATAGTTTTTACTTGTAATGATTTTCTTCAAAGCTTTTTTTTCTTATACTGTTTGTGTGTACACCAGTTGATTCTTTGTTTTATTACAACTAAGGTTTTACCTTTTTACTTGTTAAATATTCTGAAATTTAAGGTGTTCTTGTTTGCATTAAGGACAGACATTTATTAATATTAGAAGACATACTTGTGTTTACTTTTGTAAATTATCTGATATTTTTTCATACTGGGGTAAGCTTGAATATTTCATCTTAAAGAAAACACTTATCAAGCAGATGAATAATACATAATTTAATTATATTTGACTTTTATAACACTTTATTTTTTTCATTTGATAAGTTTTTATCTTTTTAGTTATTTTGTAGTTTTAGTCACCCCTGTTGAGTCAAGGTTTGCAACCATGGGCTTACTCTAATTTCATTGAAATGAACCACTCCCAACCCTTTCATGTATAATTACCCCTCCTGCTACCAAATCTTAAACAAAACAGTTATACATTCTTTTTCATAATTTAGTCTACTTTATTGTGATGGGGATTAGTTGCACTTGTCGGTAGAATTTACCCAAACATTTTTTTCTCTATAAAATGACATTTTCAAGTACCAGGAACATGAATGGATACTTTCTATTCAAATAAGAAATGCACTAAAATTAGATTTACATTAAGTTCTATACAGTTTTTCCCTACTGTCCAAAAATAGAATATTTCTATGTATGAAATGTTTCATCAGCTAAATGATGATGTAAAATGAAGAATTTTTAATTTATTATGAAGAAGAAAAAAACAAACTCTTGAGCATTCTCAAACTCAAAGAATAAACTTGCATAAGATTTCTTCTATGACTGACATAGCGCTATCATTGAATTGTGATTTTAGACTTAGGTTTGGCATTACTGACCAATGTATTCAGTTTGTAATGACTGAGCATATTCATCAGTGAATATCAAGGCGATATGATGATTATGTTAATCACAAAGTGGATGTTGCTAAAAACTGCCTTATTTGAAATGTGATGTTTAGCAAAAGTTCTGATGCTGTGTGGAGAGAATGCTAACTATTGAAGTCTGGAATATTTTCTCTGAAAGTAGAAAACTGTGGCTCCTTCAAAGTCTAGACATGAACAAAAAAGTAATCTTTTCAACTCTGAGAAATATTAATTTGTTTCTTGATGTAGTCATCTCTGTACTTCTATGTAATGCTTGCAAGAATATCAGCTCCTGATTGGATCTTTATCTTTTTGAAGTCATTTACTAGCATTTTTCTCTTTTCTGCAGTAAATTGTTAGTTATGTAGGAATTATAACGATCACTCCATCTTATCAGTTTCTTTTGTGGCTATTGCTGTCAGCACAAATGAGTGCTTTTCTTAATATATGTCCAACTTAACAAAGATCATAGCATATTTTGTGACAGTTACCTTCCCCTCCTCACCAGAAAATTAGCATAGTAATGTCTGTTCACTAAACAATATAGCATTCTTTTCTTCTTAAAATGGTTATTCTTTGTGGCAACATGAAATGAAACTTTGTCACAAAATTATGGAAATATTTTATTTTGGGAGGATACGTAATGTCTATTCTGAAGGTCAAAACTGAGCATTAAAAAACATTTAAAGTAAGTCCTTGATTCCAAATTATAAGTGGATTATTTTGGTAAATTACTTTCAAATGTAATTTTTTTATTTCCTTTTTATTATTGTTAAGTGAAAGTTTAGTGTTCATTTTTTATTTTTGTCTTATTTTGGTTTTCTTTATAGTTGAGTCCTAAATTTTTACACAAATAAAACTCTAGTTTAATTTCCACTTTTTGACCTATGGAGATTGATTTTTAATTTTTGAGCTGAAATTTGTTCTACTGGAACTTGTTTTCTCTCTCAATACATAATTAGAAACAAAAGGGATTACTTATGTGCAGCTACAAGCCACAAATGAAATACATTTTCTAATTTTAGAAATAGTCTGGGTAAAATATTCATATAATTTGTTTAATTTACTTTGTCTTATTGCAAAATTATAAGACAAACTGGATTTTATAATTCTGGAATTTTTTTCAAGACAGCCTTCAAAAATTGAAGATTTCAAACTTGTAAAACCTTTTGTTTTGAATAAGTAAATTGAATTGGTAAATTTCTTTCTTTTCATATTTATGCAAATATGTAATATTTCAGCTCAGGATAATTTTTAATTGCATATATGTAAGAAAATGTTTTGATTAAATATATATTTCAGTCAATAAGAGAATGCATCAGATTCAAGAATTACTGATGAATTACATTTTGCAATTTATTTTCATTTAGGAAATAAATTATTGTTCTGTCGATATTTCAGGATTCTTTTTACTTCACAAGTGTTTTTGTAAGATAAATTTTACTTGAGTAATATCAGTATAATTTTATCCTCTTTATTATTAGTTTTTTTCATCTTATGATTTTAGTATAAAATTATTAAAGGTTGCTGAAGGTAACAAATTTTTCTTGATATTTCTCACTTATTTTGATAATGCTCATCTCAGAGGCACCAAATGTTAATAAGGAGACAAAAAGATTAAACCATGAATTGGTTTTAACGTATTCCATGTTATATAACCATGATTAAAACATTTAGCTTTTGATATTTAATCACTTTTATTTCAATAAATATTTTTGTAAGTTACATTATTTTTTTTTTTTTTTATTTATTTATTTCTGCTTCAGATATTTGTGTCTTTTCATTTGGAGAATTTTTCTGTAATTTTCCACAATGCCTGGCCTGCAGATTGAAAACTATGATTGGATTAGATTCACCTTCTTTATATTTAATTTCATTGTCACAGTAAGTAGAAACATTTTTACTTTGTCTTTTAGTTAAATAAAGAATTTGCTGGATGAATTTGCTTAAATATATGTTGATGTATTTTTGACCAATTCTGGATTTTTTATTTAAAGAAATGATGCTAATTTTTTTTTTTTTTTTTTTTTTAACAGCAATATCACTTTAACCTATATTGTGTGACTGATCAATTCAAAGATATTTTGGAAGCTGATATAAATCTGGAATTCTGATTTATTGAGATTCATAGTTTGTATTATAAATGTATTTTGATGATCATTATTAATTTTTGACAAATTTCTTTCATTTTAACTTTATATGCCTTTTATTGCAATTTTTCATTCTTCAAAAATTAATAAAGGTTGACAATCCTTCATCTGTAGTGACCCCCTGATTAAAATATAAAAATAAGATATATAAACAAAAATAAAAAAGAATTAAAATTAAAATAAGGCATTTGTTTTTCTTTAAAACCCATAACTCTTTTTCTCTCTATACTTCTCTTCCAACTTATGAGAAGACAACCCTCAAATAAAAAGAGGGAGAAGAAAAGACTGAACTCAGCCACAAAATGACAGAAGTTTGCTGGACCAGAGTCTAGCCATTTGTGACTAGAAATCTACCAAAATAAGAGACTCCATGTATAACTTCTGCTATAAAAAAAAAAAAAAAATGAGGAAGAAAAGAACACCAGAAAATAAAATAATTTTGGCCAATCCAAAACAATTTAACACAGAGACTTTTGATGTTAGCCAAATCCAAGCTTCCTGCCAGTAGTCTAGGAGCCTTGTCAAAAGGGATATAAACTGACAGCCCTGAAGAAACCAGCCATGCGTTTCATGTGAAGCAGTTAATCACTCATCTTTTTAAAACATTTTTTCCACCCTTAGAGTTGAGAAAGGACAGCAGATTAACTCCATTGTTATACATAGTTTTATTTTATTATTTACTCATGTTATCAAAAAAAATGACAGCAATGTTTAAGTAATTTTGCAGTTACATTGTTCTTATATATAGTGTATTATGTCAGCAGATCATTATTCAAACATATATTGTTAAATATAACAGACAACGAATATCTATTATGTTTGATCTTGAGCCGTTCTAAGCTTTGTATAGTGGCTTTAGTTTTGGGAGAAAATAAAGACAAAAACTGTCCAACATTTGGATATTTTTTATTATGCTGTTCCTTGATCTAAGCTTTTGGCTCACATGAGCCATCATTAAAGTAGTTATATGGACATTACAACGAGTATGTTCACCATCAAAGATGACATCATGTTATTTTTACATAGAAGTTTGCTATGTGACGATCACAGTCATCAAATAGTAGATGCAGGTTGTAATATTGGAGGCCATCTACATAAAAACAAAGCAACCCATATATAACAAAATTACATTTCAAATCAGTCACAAAATATTACAATGCATTTAAACACATGCTTCTGTTGATAACATTTCTTTCTCTCACATGGTCATGTATACTGAGGTGCATACGAATTTACATATATACGTCATTACAAATTTATATATATATATATATAAAAGTGTGTGTGTGATTCTTTTCTATACTGAAAAAGTCCCTAATATAGAAATGTGAAAATTACCCAAATCTATTCAGTAGATTCTTCTGAATCTGACTTGTCATATAGTAGAAATTCCACTACATTTTTAAACTAGAAAAATTGTATTAAAGGAATTACTATGGACACTTATATATATTTTCACTTCAAATGTTATTTTTAGTGGATACTCATATTTGTTGCTTCAGGGAATGCAGGTTTGAATCCTGCTGGAGAACTTATATTTTTCTTTAATAAGATTTTTCAAATATTCAGTCTGGTAGACAAAAACAAATAAATGTACTGTTTAATAAATTAAGTGTCGACTCAAATATTATTATCCACTAAAAATAAAGTTTAAATTAGTTGCGATAATACAACATACACCTAAGAAATATCAAAAATTATATTGGTTGAGATATTGCTTTAAAACAAATATAAAAATAACAATTTAACATTGTAGTGGATAAAGAAAATATCTCATGTCAGAGGTTCAAACAATACTTGAAAGCCAAAGAATATATTATGAAAATATTGTTAAGAAGTAACAAAGATAAAGATGATAGTGTGAAAGATATAAAATAAATAAAAACAACTTCATATGTAAATCTTTTTAAAAAAAACATAGTTGTATTAAAAAGCACTTCCTGTGAGTAAACTCAAGATCAATGCAGTAAAATATTTTTTTGTGTAAAATAACAATAATACAATACTGAGGTGCTAGAAATAATACTGAATGACTTACTAAGTCTATCTCATTTGATGCAATGTTGTCTTGTAGTCAAGCTGAGAAGGCAATTATTGTAAGATGAATATTTCCACTTGTATAAACACAGTTCCGATTTCAGTAGTTGTGACCCCAGGAAAGAAACTTAGATAATACTTAAGCATAAGTTGTATAATGAAGTTCCCTTATAAGTTGGTTTTCTACAGACAATGTATTATTTTTAAAAATTATTTTGTGTTATTTGATAAGAGACAGGAAGACAAAAACATATCAACAAATTTTAAATTCGAATCCAAATTATTCCATGATCTTAGTAGATTGTTGGAGTACCATGTTGTATCTTTCATAGTATTTCTTAAGAATTGGGTTTAGCCAGCTTCTTTCTAACATGTGATAAGTTGTACAGAGTTAAATGGTACCAGCAGTAAATAATAGTAGTCTGACCTGACCTATAGGGAGAAGTTGATTTATGCCTTTCCCAAAGATATTAGTGTAAAGTGGACACAAAATACCTCAGTTGTAATTTGAACTCTGTTCACTGAATTTGTGTAAAGAAATCAGTGGGATTTGTGAATTTTCTAAATTTTCAACAGTTCATAGGACTTGGCTAACTTTCTGGATGGGATGTCTTGAAAGTGAAACAAAATATTTATTTCTATAATTTGAATTAATTGAAACTAATCAGTTAATTTAATTAATATCGACCTCTACCTGTATTTAAAAAGAAATCTCCGTACCTGCTTGATGCAAACATTTGCAATAAAAATTATTATCAATTAAGTATAGACTAGAAATTAAGTTAAAAAAAAACAAAAAAAAAACATAACGACTCTAAGACAAAAGAGATGTCGGTCAAAAAATAATAATAAAACTCATTTATAGCTCCTGTAAATGTACTTTGTCTTTAATATCAAAAATTATATTGGTTGAGATATTGCTTTAAAACAAATATAAAAATGAATAAAAATCTGATTTGTTTGAATAATTGATTGCATTCTTTTTAATGTTCTAATGTTTCAGCCAATTCATTCTCTGGCCTTTCAGGGATCTAGAATCTATAAAGAAAGTGGAGAGGGGATTTTTTAATTTTTTTTTTTATTTATGATTATTATTATTTTATAATTTTTCCTTTTTTTTTTTCTATTCAGGCAGTGAAGCAACAAACAGAATTAGATCAGTAGTCCCAGTGACTTTAGAATTCATTTAAAATTTACAGAAAGAAACTGATTCAGCACTGTATCTGTATATTTATTTCAAATATTGACAAATTAATTTTCAGGTTGGTATTTAATGTCATTTGGACATCAAATTTGAATAGAATATCTGCATAATATAACATATACAATTCACTTGTGTTATAGCGAAGTACAGAATACTAGAGCTGTATAGTTGAGAAGTGGGTACTTCTGGATGAGCTGCAGTGAACAACTGCTAAAAATTTGTTTATTTATATGTATATATCTCATTGGCAACCATTAAAGCTCAATACCAAGTTACTTTGTAGTTATAGAATTTATATTATATTTCTAAATAAGGGAAACCTCTCTATATCAATATAATACCATCTACCTTGAAAAATTAGTTAATTTTGGGTGAGTACAAGATTATCACAAGTTAGTGCAATAATATTAAAATGCTCTGACAAAATTTTGCTAAGATATGCCATTTTGGTTGTGTATCGATAACAATCTCATGAGAAGAAACACACACACACACACACACACACACTCACTGCCTGAATCACTTCCCCAAATCTGTATTTTGATGTTTGGTTATTGAACTACTAATTTTGTTAAGTGAATTGGGCTGACAACTTTTCAGTACCCCCTCATACACACGATGATGGAAAATCACATCACAGTATGTTGAATGTTTCAATTTATTCAAGATTAAATGTCCAGGTAATATAGCTGGATTATATTAAATAATCACATGTACAGATATGCATGGGTTCTAAAATAAGGAGTGTTTTAACAGTAACTGAACTCCCATTTTAATACTTTGTATATTCTTCTAAGGACATTAACATAAACTTTTAGTCTCACATGTATATGATCATGCATATGGTGAATGCACACCTGCAATTCATTATTCAATACCTTTTGCACTTGTTGATGCAAAACGGCAAAAACTGTAGGGGAACTAAGTGAATGAGTCAGACTGTCCCATGGGGGACAGGTCTAATGATTGCACTCTCAAGGGAAATATTTAAATATCTTGCAGAACAGGTTAAATAGCATAGCATTATTCTACTGGAATAGCATGTTGCCTTCCTGTTGCAGGAATGGCAGTAGAATAGATTAAACACTGTTCTGGACATTGTGTGGTCCTTCCACCAATACAATAGAGTAGTGAGAATTGTACTTATGTCTGTAAATTTTGGGCAAATACACTCTGGAAGATGTTTCTCCCGAGGTTCACATTGCACAGACAAATGGACATGAATTGCGTGAAAGCTGAACTTGCTCTGATTACTGAACATTATTGTTATATAGTAATAAAGTGTCGCTTGCCGACTATGGAGTTTGAACACAGATCATCAAACACAGGTGATCCCATTTTGAATAAGTAGATCCTATGATGGTAAAGGAAATGTATATATGGGAATTAGCATGGCGTCTAAGTGATCACTATACAGATTACTATTTGGATCACTATTCAGTGATTACTTTCTGAGCGAGTATTATCTAGCAAGTACTATTAGTGCGAATGCTATTCAAAGGTGTCTGACACCAGTATTGTTCAATGGCATTAGTATAGTTGTATCTGTGATTACAAAGTCTCTACTACAACTAACATTATGAAAGTGATAATGAGTATTCGTTGACATTACAAAAGTGGCAATGAGTGTTCATTGAGATCACAAAAATTATAGAGTGCCATTTGAGCTACCAGGTGACTTATGATGGCACTGAAGACATGCACTATAGTATTGTGGCATAAGTGAAAGTCTGGTTAAAGTTTTGCAAATAAATGATCCTCAGCAGCCTGTGTTGACAATTTTCTGATCTGTGCTGTGGATGCCATGTGGTCTGCCACTGCTGCTCTTACAATGTGTCAAACTTTGTATCTGTCTATACTACATAATCATGTAGGATAATGTGTAAGAATGTACATTTAATCATTATTGCTGACATTAAAGCACCACTGATACATCACGTCCAACATGTGCAGCAAAACTCTGAAAATATCATTCAGTTTCTGAAAGTCTAACAACCTTGACCCACTTTCAAACAAATTCAACTGAGCAAAAGAGGCATGTGTTTGTTTCTGTGGCATGACACCTGCTTTTTCTTTATTCTTATTTTCTTTTTTTTATTATTTTTTTTATTTTTAGTGTCTGGGTGGAGGACAATTAGTTGTTGGTGTGTGGCTGCAGAATCTCTGGACTCCATATGGTTCGCTCTTACCTACTTACAGTCTTTTTAGCCCAACAACCCTCATCATAATCATGGGAGCCATCATTACTGTAGTAGGATTCTTTGGTGCCTTTGGATCTCTGATGGAAAACAAATGCATGTTGATTGTGGTATGTATTTCTAGGCTGGAGTCATTGAAATAATTATATATTGTATAAAAGTGATTCAATCTTTATAACCATCCAAAAACTGCCTTTAAAAGGCTGAAAATTTAACATTAAAATTTAAATTTTTAGAACCAAATGTTATATATTTTAATAAAATTTGCTCCATTTGATTCTATGACTATTTCCTAATAGTTTTGTATTGAAAACTGTCTTTGGACAGAATTATGTATTCTTTGCTGATGTCAGAAACTGATGTTCAAATTCAGATAAAAACTAGGATTTTGAATGCTGATTTTCAGAGGACAAATATTAGAAAATATTAGTCCAGTTTGTGCTTTTCATCTGAGATAAATTCTCTGATAAGATCAGAAGGCTAATATTTTCTTTTTACTATGATTAGAGATGTTGCCTTTTAATTGGGCATGGTTATCTGTTAGTACTTGTATATTATACTGAGGCTTTTTCCATAGCAATTATTGCTGTATGGAAGAGACCAAGAAGGCTTCCAAGAAGAAAAGGCAGAAGAACAAAAATTGGGTGACAAGAACATAGTGGAAAATAGAAAGTCCAGATTACATAAACTATGAAAACTATTAGTACATTTAGATGCATAGGGCATTCTGCTGTAGAGATTGTTTTTTTTTATGGCTTATCAACCCTTTGTGGGTTATTTAAAGCCAAAATATATTTTGGATTGTAAGAATTTAAAAATTTTTAAATTTTTTTTTTTGTGAGTGTATATTGCATTAACAAGTTTCGGAGAATTGCTGATTTTTCCATGTATGATCTTAACATCTAGCCCATAATTGGGGGAGGGAGATAGATTCATACCTTTCCCATTGGTATTTGTGCATAAGTGGATGTAATGAGCCCAACTGGAATTTGAACAAAAATCTCTGATCAGGGTCATCTTAACAACATTATGAGCCTCTGGGCAAACCAGTGTGCTGGGGCCCCTATGACAAAAACTCACCGGAATAAAAAGTAAATGGTTGATAATATTAAACATATATTTATTTTATTGGCACTTCAACAAAACTGGTGTTAGAACATTAAAAGCATGCTGTACAGCAGCAACTAATCAACATGATAAACATTTAAGCAATGCACAAGGTTTAAAAAACAATAATACTCAGTAAACCACACAGATTAGATGGCACAGTATGAAATTACTATGAACTCGTTATAACAAGCATTTGCAGCATTTCTTTTCAGAGAATTGCTTTATTATTGGTTTGAAGTCAGTGGTCTTCTGCAATAGGATATCATTTTCCATGCACATGATGTAAGCCAGTTCAAATGATGCTACCTCATTGTGCTACAAAGCAAATTTTTTTATAAGTTTCAGTTGTGAAAAAGAATGTTCTCCTGTCGGTCATCATCCTGCACATGTACATTCTGAGTGCAATTTCAACATTCAGGAATACAGATTTCAAATAGTCCAAAATTAGTACAGTGCAAGGGAGAGTCTCACAATTTTCATCATGATCCATGTAGTGCTTGAGAGGCTCACATTCATTTAAAAGGTCATCGTAATTCAGGTCTTTGTGATACATATTAACCAGTTGTTCACACTTTTTCTTTAGAGCATCAGAAGCAATGGTTTTCAATTCACCGAAGAAAGAAAACCGATTTCCAGTCTGTGAATAACCCTTTGCATTGTCAGTTCAAAGATTAGTGTTCAGAATAGGGAGAAAAGTTTCCACCTTGAACTTTTTGGTTTTACTGAGAAGTACCAATTCTGCTGATCCATCATATCTATTAAGATGCACACTTCATTTTCATTCCTGTTTTTTCCCATCATTGTAATCTGTATCTGGACACATACTCCTGATTTTGAATTCATATTAACAAAATTTGTCTCTAGTTTCCTGAAGATAGGTTTTCATAGACTCAAGAAGATTTGTGGCAGCAAAGATGTTTACATCCTTTGATTGCAGGACCTTGCTTGTTTTGTTTATTCTTTCTAGCATGTCATTCCAAAGAATTGTTAGAAAGATTGTTTCAATGTTTTCATTTTTTTGGTCAGTCCTACTGCCTCTCACCTTGTATTCACTTGCTGTTAATTGTCAGCTGATAGAGAATCCAGTGCATGTTTTATTTTCTTGAAACTTCCATACAGAGCATGAACAGTATCAAAATGTGCTGATGATTGTGTGTCTGACAGATGCTTGACCACAAAATTTTTACCTAGAGATGATGTCAATACATTCCAGCGATGAGTAGAACCAGCAAAAAATGAATACAGATGTTGAACAAAGTCAAAGAATTTTACAGTCTGTAGACAACACTCAGCTGCTTTTAATCCCAATTCAAGCTGTGTCATTGAGTTGATGAATCTGTGCACGCAATCCAGTATATTGTCCAGACATATTTGAAGCATGACTGACTATGCCAGGAATTTTGTTCTAATTAAGAAAATCCACAACAGCATATGTTGTATCCTTTGCTCCATGAGAAAAGATGCGGAAACATTTCACAGGCTCATCACAGTCTTTAATGTATCAGACAGTAAATGTCAATTTGATTTGTGCATGAAAATCTACACTTCAGTTTAGGGGAATCTACTTCTGGAGTGGAATCTACACTTATTGAGTAATACTTTGACTCTTTTACTTCTTCAAGAATAGTACAAAGAACCTGTTGCCTTATTAATTCAGTAAATTCCTCACAAATATTTGCAGATAAATCTGATGGATTCTCTTTACCAGGGTTTCCATACATTTTGAGATGATCTTCCGAGAAAGGGTCAAATTCACTCAGTAGCACTAGTATACCTAAATAGTTTTCATTTTTTTTTTTTTTTGACCTAATAATCTGATTTTCTTCACAAAATGGCATATCTCTGTAGGCAAGAAAGTGAATTACAGAAACCACACGTGTCAACACTTTATGCCAATATTCCTGCTCTTAGTGATGCTGCTCAATAAAGAATCTAAACTTGCAGTTTCTTTAAGCCTCATCAAATATGCTGTCATTCATTTACAATGATTTTCTCCATTTTCATGTTCTACATTAACATTGCTGTACTTCCAGCCATTGAATCCTGATGTAAGGAGATTCTTTCTTGAACAATAGGTGACATACAAAGCATTACAAACACATTGGGATGGTGAATAGAGTATCCATTCATGTTTTACACACTCTCCATTATGCAGTTCACATTTAAACATATTGATAAATACTTTGCCTTCATATTCTCTACTCCAGCTGTTTTAGACACTCTGCATGAGATTGGAAAGTTGCTATCATGATTCTGACATGATGAGGAGCCCACAATGAATCCAGTAATCTATTGTTTTAGTATCATTAGTGTTCCATGAACCTGGATCTGTCTCTTGGTTTTTAAACTCCTTTACTATTACAGATTAGGGTATTCCTTTTGTAAAATGACACGAGCAGCAGCAGCAGGCAATGATGGTATATCTATTGAAACTAAATGATTGGTAGCAGGAATGGATGTAGATGTGGATGCTATATCTGAAGGAATGTTATGAGTGGCTGATGTTGCACCTGTGTTGAGCCACAATGTTAATTTTTGAAGTTTTCTTATTTTATTCTTCTTCTTAGCCACTCTCTTCTTTTATGCTCCACTCAAAACATCTAGATGATATATTAATAAAAAGTAAAACCTGAGAAGAACATGCAAGATATGTAAAGGAAGTTTTTAAAAAAATAAGAGTTTGAATTTAAGTTGTGTATTGAAAAATGTGAATTCTTTTTTTTACCAAAAATCAGGTATTTGGGACAGATTATAGACAAAAAAGTAGGCCTGTCCTAGTTGTGCAAATGCAATAAAGAATGTGCCCACTCCAACAACTGTATCACCCCTACAATTATTTTTGGAGTTAGCAAATTATTATAGCAATTACATCCCAAAGATGCACACATTAAGAGCACCATTGTACAAACTTCTTAAAAAAAGATAAAGTGGAACTGGTCAGTTGATTGTCAAAAGACTTTTGATAACTTAAAAACGGCATTGATGCTGGATCTAACTCTCACATATTATGACCCTGATAAAGAGATTTATGTTGCAAGTGATGCTAGTAATCTGGGTTTAAGTTTAGTAATCTTACAAAAAGTAAAAGATGGTCAGTTAAAGGCCATACATCATGTTTCGATGACTTTGCTCCTGACAGGAATGAATTATTAACAAATTAAAAAAGAGGGGTTAAGACTGATATTTGCTTTTAAGAAATTTCACAAATACATACATGGAAGAGAGTTCATTCTTCAAATTGACCATTACCCTCTACTGTCTATATTTGGCTCAAAAAAAAGGAATTCCTACACATTCAGCTAATTGCCTACAAAGATGGAGAACCATTTTGTTAAATTACTCTTTCAAAATGGAGTTTTTACCATCTAAGAAAATTGCACACACTGATGGTTTGTCTAGGTTAATTCCAAAAAAAATAAGAGAACCATTAGAAGAGACAGTTATTGCTTCACTGAGTTCCAAAATGGATATTAAAAATGTTCTGTATAACACAGTAAAAGAACTACCAGTTACTTTGGAAGAAATAAGGTTCAAAGCAAAATTTGATAAGTTTATTACAGAGAAAAGGGATCAGATCATGGACCAGAAGTAAAATAATGGAAATAATATTTATTTTATATGTAATGGTATATTGTTATATGGAGATTGGGTTGTAATACCAGCAGTTTTAGCAAAAAAAATCTTGAAGGATTTTCATATCAGGCATCCAGGGATATCAAGAATGAAAGCTCTCATGAGGAGTTATGTCTATTGGTATGGCATCGACAAGGAAATTGAAAATCTGGTAAAAACTTGAAAAAAACTGTGCATTGGCAACTAAGGTGCCATCTGAGAAATTCAATCCCTGGTCAAAGACTGATAAGCCATGGTCAAGATTACACATTGACTATGCTGACACAATAAAGGGGTCTTATTGCTTTATTGTGGTAGATAGCCTCACAAAGTGGCCAGAAGTTTTTAAATGTAAAACGCCAACTAATAGTCATGATAGATATTTTTTTACACAAATTATTTGCTAGATTTGGCGTACCAGAGACTATCGTGTCCGACGATGGTACACAATTTTCTTTGAAGGATTTTGAAAATTTTTAAAATCCACTCAATTGTACACTTAACATCCACACCCTACCACCCAAGGTCAAATGGTGGAAAGATTTATTGATGTGTTTAAGAGAACAATTAAGAAGGCAAGCGGAATTGAAACCATGAACGAAGAATTACAAAAATTCTTTTCCATGGCACCTAATGTAAATGCAAATTCAGGAATGGCTCCAGCTGAACTCATGTTTGCAATTCATTTGGTATTTGACAAACTGAGACCTATAGAAAAGAAAAAATACACATGCTAAACATTACAACCCTGGTGAAAAAATATATTTTAAGAATTATAAATTTGGAAAAGCAACATGGGAAGAAGGAACCATTGATAAAATAATTGGCAAAATGTATTTGATAAAACATCCAAAATGGGTGATTAAGACATTTAAATCAAAAAAAGATATACTGTGAATGTAGATCAATGCAAGAAAGAACCTATGACAGTGATTGTGGGGTCCGTGGGCTGGTGCCCATTAGGCCCATGTGTTAAGATGGCTCTGTTTCTGATTTCCCATTCTGAGCTGCTGTAGAAAAATTGTTAATGAGCTTGTCTTGTAGCTAATTCATTAGTCTGTAACCATATATCAGATTAGACTAAAATTTATTAAATAGGCATATTATAGATGTACAATGAATTCCACTTAAGCAGCACACATTAGGACTACCAATAAGTGTTAATTCCTGTGTATACTTTCAAGCATGAAATAAAGCTAGCAGATATAGATTGGAATCCTAATGAGAAGTGTTCATTTCTTAAGTAGGTAATTGAGTCTTACCTCATCCTGATGGTTTACCATGGCCTAATTGGTAAAGGTGCACTTTAGCTATAGGAATGGTTTCCCTGATGGAAAAAAGGAATACAGGTCCGATTCCTGTTGGAAAGCATATTTTTCTTTTAGTATGACTTCTCTACCTATATTAGTTCACATTAATTTCACTATTTAAAAAAATAAAAACCTGTGGATGTCAACTCAAAAGACATCTTACAAAATCATACCTATGTTTGATTCACTTATGCAATTGATTCAACTATTCTTACCATTGTATAGTACAATAAACTTTTTATTGTTTATAATGAATCATCAACTGCAAATAATTTCCTACCCCTTTAGAATTTAATGATGTAAAAAAAAAAATTAAAGTAATGTTTTTGTTTTTAATTTAAATGAAATTGTATTTAAAAATATAAACGCTCCATTTTAGTCAAACTTTTTTTAACATTAAAGTTTCTCTTAAAAAAAAGGTTTAGCTTCCTTTCAAGAACTTAAAAAGCCTTCAGTTTGGTTTCAGTATTTGCCTTTAAAATTTATAAGGGTGTGTGTGTGTTTTTTTTTCCTCCTCAGATATTTTATTGATCAACATTTTAGAAACTAAATAAAATTTGTAGGCACTTTGCCAGTTTGATATTCAGTTTTAATTTTATCTTTTTTGCCCTTTGTCTTTCATGTTTTTGAAAATATACATCACAATTCTTTATTTTTAATTGTTTTATATTATAAAATATATATTTATATATCTAAATTGAACATTTTATAAGACTATCTACTTTATTTTAATATTTTGAATTTGTTTTATTTTATTTTATTTTATTCTTTTTTTTTTTTTAGTATTTCATATTTGTCTTTCTCATGTTACTTTTGGAAATAATCATCACAGTCCTTGGCTGCACACAGAAAGAGATTGTAAGTAATGATTGAGATATATATATATATATGAACAAGTGACTGATATTTTTTATTTATTTCTTTTTTAATTTTAACATGAACTTTTATTCATGTTTGATTTATTTCTAACTTTTGTTTTCAATACAATATTTCAGCCAGTGTGCTCTTTGGCCTTCCTTGTCTTGTCTGAAACTCTAAGATGAATAATTTTCAATATTATAAGCAATATTCACATTTGTTGTTTTTAGCAAAATACACTAGCCCACAAATCTTCAGTTTTCTCCCAACAATGCAAAGCTTTGTGATCTCATCAAACTGTAGTTTTTGTTGAAATGAAGACAATGGCATAAAGTAATTTTGAAGTTGTTACATCCAACAAACACCTGATGGAGATCAAAGAATGAACTGACTGAAATATTGAAAACAACAAAAATGAAGTTCAAAAATGTGGTGAATAACCACTATTTTATAAAAAAATTTTATTTGAGAAATTATGAGGATATTTTTTACAATGTAACTTTTTAAACATTGATTCACACTAGTGTAGAGTGCAACAGTACCTACTTCTAATGGAATCATGTTTTATTGAATTCACTACAGTGACTATTAATTCAAATTAATATTCTGAAAAAGAAAATAGGCTAGTCCTAATCTTATTCTGTAGCTGAGAATGAAAAAGAATCTGTTATCAGATGTGGAAAGAGATATTAATACAAACTATTTGAAATTCTGTACATTTCCCTTAAGACAAGATTTATCTAAACCTCTAAGCTTTGGATAGGTTCCAGTGTACATTAATGCTGGAGATGGAACTACTATTTCATTCACTATAGTAACTATTCCACAAAAAGGTTCTGCACATTATTTTATAGAAGAGAATAAAAAATGATTTATAAACAAAAATCTATTTTGATCTCTAGGAATGAGATTAATATTGTTTGATTTATGAAGACTTATAAGGATCAACAATATTTTACATTCTATGGCATATAATGTTTTTTTCTGACAGATTGACAAAGATTTTGGTAGTTGAATGGCAGTTCTAAGACAACTTCACTATTAAATTAGACCAAACAAAATAGCATTTTTCATGGAGCACTGGCATGCATCAAAATAAGTGATTTTTTTTTTTTTTTTTAAATTTTGCTTCATAGATTGATGATTGAATTTTGATACCATGACAACCAGACAGGCTAAAGGTCCAGGAAGCTTTTCAGGACATTCTTCATTCTGATGATGAATTCAAAGCAGAAGAAATAAATGAATTTGTTTCCAATACTGATTTTGAATTTGACAGTAGGCTAGGAACACATTCTGCTGTTTGCAATATATTTTGTATATTTTGACAATTTTAATCCAATCAATTTTATAGAGAAATAACCAACCCCAGATATTCATGAGTAAAGAACACCCCTACCATATTGACTGAGCATAATCCTGTCAGTGTGTATATGTATATATATAATTATTTTTTATAAAAAATTATAACATAAGTATGTTATAAGATCACTACAAAAATAGCCATTTTGTTTCAACACATTCACATAGACACAGAATGTGTTGAAACAAAATGGCTATTTTTGTAGTGATCTTATAACATACTTATGTTATAATTTTTATAAAAATTAATTATATCTGCTCTACTTTTGTATTGAGCACTCTTTTAAGAATAGTAATTGTTGGTTATTGGAATTCATTCCGTATATACCAATTATATACTTTGATATATATATATATATATATATATATATATATATATATATATATGGGAGCATGGCCGTGTGGTTAGTATGTTCGCTCTCTGACCATGAGACCTGGGTTCGAATCTCACAATGGTTGATTTGTCAGAAATGAGACTTCCTGATGTTATCAGACTGGAGTGAAGTTAATCCTTAGTGTTTGGCACCTTTGGAAAGTGCCTGTAAAAAACCATACCATGGATTGAGCTAAGCCTTGTGAGTGAAATTGGGTAGATGGAACTCTTGGGAGCTGTTGATAGCTGTGCCAGCATGAAGCCACAAGTCATTGTGGCTGAGGACTTGAGCATGCTGGCATTGTTTAAATTGTTGATCATGCTCTCTCCCAGAAACTGTAACTAAGACCTGCTCAGCATAGTTGCAGTATAAACCAGGTGGGCTCTGTTGAACAAACACAAATGCCTGAGTGAGTGTCTGCCCTAGTAGAGAGGTATCCTTGAATACAAGTGGCCAGCTATATTTTATATATAATGTGTATGTGTGAAGGGGGAGTTAGATTGCTTTGATAACTCAGAAATTGGAGTTAAATATGAGTTACCTTAAATTTAAAAATAAATTTGGTTTAGAAAGGGTTAAGCCATTAGCATTAGTTGGAGATAAAGCAATAATGAAAGATTAACCAATCAAAAATTAATAATGAAAAGACTATTACACTAGGTGTAAGTAAATTATATAATATGAAGTAGTCTAGATAAGGAAGGGATGTAGCTGAGTGGCTAAATTTGAACTTTGCCTACTCATAATACTCTGTTCAAATCAGTAAAGCTTCGTCTGTTAGATGTGCTCTCAACAATACTGGATGCTTGTTCCATTTATAGAACATAAAACAACTTGAGTATTATTGTAAAAAGCAAGAATCAGAAAAAAACAAACTAGTGAAAAATTAATAAAAAGTGAATTGTTAAATATTTTGTTTGTAAACCATGTACTGTTTTATATTAATATATACTGTTTTTTTTTATTTTTTATATTAATATATACTGTTTTGTATGAAGTTGCTCAAATGTTAGAATATTTCTTGTTTTTTTTTTTGTTTTTTTTTAAATCAGTAATTTTTTATTTAAAATAAATGTTTTTTTATTAACCTTTTATTTATTTAAATCTGTCAAAATTAAGATGTTCTGCTAGTTAAATTTTTTTTTTTTATTTGAAAAACGAGTATTAAGATTGTTTAAAATTTCAATAACAAAATTGTAATCTTTTACACAATTTAAAAAGAAAATTGGGATGCGTAGGTTAGCGGGTATTGTCATGTAAAGTGAAATCTTTCAGTCAAGTTCAAATTCTGTGCCAGTCTGTTGTGTTCATTTTGTGCAAATGGTTCTTGGGAAAGTTTTTCCACAGCAGCTTCAGGTTTTTAATAGTGGGGTAGATGGCTCACTAGCCTTGGTGGTAATCAGCATAAGAGGAGAAAGACTGAATTCAAAACCATGGAGAAGGAAACAAGAAATCATTTCATAGTAATTCACAGACAATAAAGAAAAGGAATCTGTGATAAGAAGGGACTTGGCTTTATGTTCATTATGATTCCAAAAGATTATCTATGAAAACAAATTTCCAAAAGTTCTTGAATTTCAATATTTTTTGGATGGAGAAAATTGACTAAATTTTGGAGTAGATCCAAAAGTGTGTGTTTTTGTTTTTGTTTAATTCACATATATTTCATGTATTAAGATCCAAAAGTGTTTCTTTTCTTTTTTTTTTTATAGAGATATTTCATATATTAATAAATATAAGGAACAAAAATGAAATTTATAGTTAGTTCCCCTATATCAGATCTGTCTATGATCTGATTTTCAATCAGTTTTTGGGTTATAGTGTCAAAAATATATACTTTCTGAGTGCTATCTAGCCTTTAAAATTTATATTCATATTTATTCCTGTCCGTTTCAAATTTCCATGACAAATCTGCTGATACTTCATGATACAGCAGCTCAACAAAGTTCTATTTGATGTCCTAACCTAGAAAGTTTTTAAAATAACCGAATTAAAATTTCTTTGGTACACTCTACAAATGAATGTTTTTATTGTTCCTCAGGTACCTTCTGAAAGCTTTTTAAAACTATTATTTAAATATTTATTTTAAATGGAACGCTGATCTTATATAAAAATTTTAGTTATCTGTTTGGATTAGTTGTGCTCTTATGTCCATCGTCTTTTTCATGTTGAATTTTATATGTTCTAATGTTAATAATGTTTTATAAATAAGTCCTGATGATGGTCTAAAATAGACCGAAACGTCCGACGTTGACTTTATATTAACATTAATACAGCATAATTATATATTAAGATTTTTGTTTGTTTTTTCTGTATATTTTTTTTTATATATATATATATATATATATATATACACATATATGTGTGTGTGTGTATATATATATATATATATATATATATATATATATATATATATATAATTTGCCACTTAGCTGATTGGTGTTACCTTCAGCATCCTGACTTTAGAGTCTTGTAGACAGACCCTCCAGCAATAAGTCCATCCACTTGTCAAATGATAGATATATATATATATATATATATATATGGGCAAGGCCTTAAGTCTTTTTTTAACTGCCCACTGATTTTAGTTTTAGTCATTTTTCTGTATTAATAAAATATTTATGGAGTAGAAGAAAAAAAATTTGATGATTAAACACAAATGTTTGTAGTTTTTTACCTAAAATTGCTGAACCCTATACAAATTTGTCATAAAAGTGTTACTAAGTCAGGTATTTGTATATTACTAGATGTGTTGCTAATGGTTTTACTTTTATTATTTATTTTGAGTCTGAAAAATGCGTTTTGAGGGATCAAACACACAGCATTTTTTCCATTTTTATCATTCCGTGATTTTACTATAAAATGCATTGGAAATCAGAAAGAGATTATCAATGGTCATAAATTAAGGGCAAGTACTATTGATACAATATGGCTATTTGTATAATGGTAAATGTGTTGCTAATGATTTTTTTCTACAGAAATATATTGAAAATTAGAATGATCAAAAACTAATAGATGCATTACTGACATAAATAATATACTTATGTATATAAAATTTGTTTACTCAATAGTACATCAATCAAATTTTGTTATGTAGTTTTCTATCAAAGGATGATATTCAACATTGAGTAAATGAAGCTCATGTAGATATGTGTATCTTATTCAATATTCTTATACCCAGCCATTTTATCTATTCTTCTGCTATAAAGTGAATGTCTTATGTTTTTCTTTTTTTTTTTTTACTTATCAGCTAATGGCACTTTCCTTTAAATGTGCAAAGTTGATTTGAGTATTATTATTTGTATTTTCATCGTGATTTTTCAACTTTATTATTCATCAGGTTCAGGAAACGGTGACTCAACAAATGGTCATCAGCATTCGGGAATCTTATGATCCAACAGAAGTGGATGATGAACAAGGACTTGTGAAAATTTGGGACCAACTTCAAGTTGAGGTTTGTAAACTTTCTTAGATGTAATACACAGATTACCATTTTTGAAAATCTTTTGAGTGTACTTGAATTAAACTTCTTCTATGGGCCATATCCTTTCAGGATATTGGTAATCATGATTCTCCACAACTTCCTGTCCTTTATAGCTCTTAGCAATATTTATCATTTTGCTATATCTCCTAATCCTTGTTCTGCCAACCATTTACAAAAGCTTGTAGGTTATTCATTTGGTTTTCAATGATTGTGTCAGAGATATATATTTTTTGAGTGTTTCTCGTCTTTAAAATTTATATTCATATTTATTCTCGTTATTTTTTGGAAAGTGCAAATCTAAGTGTTGTGTAGTTTTTTTAATTCAGACATATTTAATATTTTAAGACAGTCTGAAATATATGGGTGGGGGGAGAAATTAAACTTAAACTTCGGAAATGTTTTTAAATCTATCATGTTTTGGTCTGGTCTTTGGATCTGGACAAAAGAGAATTTTGAATTAACACTATACAGAGATTGTGGTATTTCTAGTTGTTTATAGGAACTATGGTATTGTAAATATAAATTACGTATACAAATACATTAAATCCAACAGCATTTCTAACATTTCTTTTTTTCAGTTTTTCCTTGTAATCAAAATAGAATTGCCCATTATTTATTTGAGGTAATGGCAGAGTATAATGCACATATTAACTATTCGGTTGAGTCATAAATATTTTTTTTTTTAAAGTCTATTCTTCAAAATATTAAAGTTGATTTCCAAAAATGGAAATTACTTAGGACACAACCTAATAACAGAGCAAGCAGAATTATATAGTTGTTCCAAGCCATGATAATAGACATTAGGAATTGTTAACCAAATACATCCCAATTTTATTCATTCTAGTAATTACATATTTATAGACACTGCAATTCCTGGAATAATATATAGAAATTGCAGAAATTCTAAATGTAAATTTTATGTATAAAGGCTATATAAAACAAATGCCATTAATATTTCAAATTTTGTTAAAAATATTGAAGTCCTCATTTAGTGTTCTTGATGTGACACTATTACAACCAATCCATTCTCCAGCCTTCATCAGGTGTATAATTTGTAAGGAAAAAGAGTGAAAAAATGTTTTCTTTTCTCATGGATTATACAGCAGACAAAAGGTTGGATAATAGACCTACCAAAATGGTTGGTTATTGTTTTGGGAGTACTTCATCCAAGAACCTTTTCTGCCTGCACACCTAAGACTTTTACATAGTGTTTTTTTTTTTTTTACCCCTCACAAAATTAATGGTTTCCTATTATCATAGTTGTAAATATCTGATTTCTCATTCTTTAAATATATGGTTGCATTGCAAATGGGATATTGTCCCAAAGGCTTCATGCTTGATAAATGTGAGAATAGGATTTTTTTTTTTTTTTTTGGTTTCAAAACTCATCTTAACTCCTCTTTTCTGTACATGGTTATCTGAATTCCTTAATGAAGCACTTTTGACATGTTGGTATTAAAAATGATCCAACACAAAGATACCATTTTTTTCTTTTTTAGTACCTAGACTGATCAACAGATGGCAGAGTTGAAGAAAATGAAATGTCTTTCAAATAGTTAAAGGATCTTTTTTTTTCTTCTTCCTTTTATTCCAGATGAAATGCTGTGGTGTTAACAGCTATTCTGATTGGTACAACATCTATGCATGGCCAAATAAACAGCGGGTTCCTGATTCTTGTTGTCAGAATTATAAGCCGGGATGTGGTCAGTTAGAACCTCTCTATTGGCACAAACAAGTAAGTATTTTCTCTTAATTTAATAATAAACAAGTATTATTCCATCAAATTAGTGTATGTGAAGACTGATTTCCATCTTTTAGTACAAAGTTAAAATCAGGTTTGATAAAGAAAAGGATGTATGTGTTCTACATTGTTTTCCCACAAAATATAAGGAAAATCTGTCTTAATTTTTGTTAACTAAATATGACCAATAAGCATTTTTGAGTGCCTCCATCATTTACTACAGTGTTTCAATAAAATTTACTATTTCTCTAGGAGTACCTTAATTAGAAAAGTAAACTTGATATGATTTCACTCTCCACTCTAATAATTCACATAATCTTAAAAAAAAAAAAAAAAAAAAAAGTTCCTATTGTGATTAAAAAAGTTAATACACATATACAACACACCACTCAGAAATTCTAAGAACACTGTTAAAATTGTTGATTTCGTGTTGGATTAATGGATTATCATGTACCTGAATTGCCACCAAACTTAAGTGTTTTATTGTATTAATGAATAGTCAAAAGTTCAGTTTTGTAATAGAAATTCATTTCTTAGCCTGCAGAAATGATAAAACATTTCTGAGATTAGGTATTATGCACACTATTTACATTATTCGGACTATTGTCCTCATCTTTGTTGCCATATTTATCGCAATGGGTTAAAGTTTGACATTCCAACAACCTGAAGAAGGCTGGAGCATACAATGGCTGAAATGTTGATAAATATGGTAACAAAGATGAGGACAATAGTCCAAATAATGTAAATAGTGAACATTTGTGAAGTTGATGCTTTTAGTATAGTTCTGTAAAGAATCTCTCCCACCCTAACATTCTCTGAACAGGCTGAAAGTGTGCTTGCTTTTGTTAGAAAAAGCATTCTTGGAGCAAAGCTAGGTAATGATGGTACTCAAAGATCCCTTGAGATGCAACAAAGAAAATCTCAGTTTATCAGCAGTATGACACTTAAAGATTTCTGATTAGATTAGGTGCTATTAAAATTAGGAAAATTACTTGAGCAATAAGCCAGCTATAACAAATATCACTTTCATTTGCAAAGACTAGTCTGCTATAATTTCTCTAGATAAAAATATTTTTGGGTGTGTACATACACACAACATCCATGAAGCCTGAAACAGGCCAAATCATTGGATATATTTGTGTGTGTGTACGTTTGTAAGCAAAATGTGTAGACAGTATAATGCTTTGTTTTGGTAACCGTCTTAAAAACTATTCAATTTTATATTGTATTTATAAATATTGGTCTGGCCACTATTATAAACTCTTTAAAATTATTTGGAAAAATTTTATCTGATCCTAGTTTAAACAAATTGTGTGTGTGTGTGTGTGTGTGTTTTCTTTTTATAAACGAAACTGACACTGGCCCACACTTATCCATAATTTGTTGCCTGCAGTCAAGCTTAGAAATAATGATCTAAAGCATAAGAGTAATGATTACTGGTGATTCAAAAGAGAAGTCAAACTGATCTCTGTAAGGGGGAAATATTTGAAGTTACTACAGCAAGAATGAATCTTACACAACTTTAATTCTAAACAATATTCTGTAAAGATTCCATTATTGCTAATGGTTTTTAGAGTGTTAAATTTATATTATAAAATAACTGAATTTCATTGTAGGTTCATATAAAATAAGTATTTGTAGTCACAGGTAGATACTGTGCTTTGGTCTTTTTTGCAGAGAAAATTGGATAGGAAATGAAATGTAATTTGAGTTTGAAGAACTTTTCCCTTATAATGCAGCTTAGGTTTTATTTAAATAGGAATGTTATTGAGTAGCCAATTTTAAATTGTGGCATTCTAATGTCAAAATGAAGAGATCATTCTATTTTTTTTGGGGGGGGGGGGGAGGTACAGAACAGAAAAACAAAAACAATGTAACTATTAAAAACAGCAACCTGTTACTGTTTTTAATCATATTTCAGGATTACCAAAATTTTTTTTTTTTTTTTTTTTAAATGTAAGGATAATTGTGCAGAGGTACAAAATTTTATATTATAGAAAAAAAAATTAAGTTTTGTATTTGAGCTCCAGATAGTCACTATTTCTTTTGACTTCTTTCCATCCCATTAATCATGCTGATAATGTTTGTTTTCCCTCTCTTTTTCTATTTGGAAAAAAAGGGCTGCTTAGCTGAAGTGGGTTACTGGTTTATGAAGAAACTACATGTTCTTGGTGTGATTGCTCTTACCCTGGCTGTGACACAGGTAAGTCATTTTCTTTTGCCGGGTGAACTGGCTAAGTTTATCAGTACTAAAAATGGGGCTTTCGACCAAGAACTTATATTACTCCTTATATTGGAAAGTGATTATTTTTTTTTTCTTTTTCTAAAAGGTCCTAGTGTTGAGCAGATACTACACACCCTATACATTTGCTTAAATGTACTTTTTTTTTTTTTGAAAAGACTTAAATGTTACAGAAAATAAGTATATTTTCTAGTAGTGTTTTCTGCTAAAATGTTTCCTTTTTCTATTGCAGATCTTGTTCATGGTTGGCGCCATGTACCTGATGTGTAGACTGAGACGTCTTTATCAATAAAGGAACCAAACAGACATGCTTAAAAAAAAAAAAAAAAAAATAAATAAATAAAACTCTAAAAACTGAACACTATTTTGTGCAAAAGAACTTGTTTGATATTTGTAAAAGTAATGTTTGGAGACCACTGACCTGAAAGAGATTGATGACCTATATTAAGTTTGTTAGTTCAATTTTTAAGTGTTTTGTATTATGAGGTAAGTAGTCAATATTTTTTTTTCATCATCGGTTTGATGGATATCGTTATACTTGTAGTCAAAGGGAGATAATTACACTAAGGAATTCGTGTAACGTATTTTTGGAAGGCATTTTAATAAGTGTTTCTCTAGATATTTAATGCAGTCTAACTTACAGTATGTAATTAAGTCAGTGATTTTGAGAGGGCTGCAGCACACAGGATAAAAGAAACATTCTCTTTGGTTCTTACATCATAGAGAGAGACACTTTTATACTACAGTTTAATGTTAGCACAGAAACAAATGGGGTATTGGACAGTGGGGAGGGGGGGGCAGGAATTGATAAGGTGACTATTGATCAATACATTGCAGTGACAACTATGACAAGATGGCAGTAGATTAATTTTCATAGTTTAGGAAAATAACATTCTTTATTAGAACTATACTGTGTCATACATTACAAAATGACTTTACAAATTCATTTGTAAAAAAAAAAAAAAAAAAAAAAGTTTTAGTTTTAATCTAAGCTGTGTTGGAAACAAATATATTCCATACAGTTTTAAAATAAATGAAATGAATACAGATTTCTTCCTTTTCAGCATCCCTCCACCCCAAGGAGATAGGTATATATACACACCTTTGAAATAAAGAATTAAAACAAAAACATACTGTACTGGATAACTTGTGCTACATTTTGGGGGGGTGGCTTCATTAGGCTGAACACTTATAACAAACATCACACACAACAACACTAAGCAAACAAACATCTGATGGTAAACTGAACTTGCAAGTGTTCCAATTAAGCCATTAACTAGTCAAAATACATTACTTAAATTGATACCCAATTTAAGTCAGGCTATCAAGTCTAATTATCTTTAAAATTAGAGAACAAGTGCTCAGTTTAGATTCACTTGTTTGATAAGACATAACTATGCAATATTAAAAGTTTGCAGTAACTGCACATTTATTAAATGCCCTTACATCAAGAAAAAAAAAGTTGTCAGATGGTAGCATTATTAAATACAGAAGTTAGTAAAAGAAAAAAATTAACTATTAAAGACAGTTATTGAAATTTCTGACATTAGGTGTGTATATATATATATATTCTCCTGTTGTGTTCAAAATATGCTAAAATATTCTCAGATTTTATTTGATTAATATATTAGGCTCTTTATTATGAAAATAAAAAAAAAGCAATCAAGGTTCTTTAGCTCACAGTACGAGTGTATAGTGAACATATGGTTTCAAGTTCAATATAAATGCAAGTCTGCTTAAAAAGGAAGTAGTTTATGGTGTTGTCTGTCCTAGCACAAACATACATTTACTTTTAGAATGTATGTAATTTGTTTCCCAACTTTTCTATTATCACAAGAAATTTCCCACCATCAGAATAAGATATCTTACTAGCAGCTGGGCAGTTTTACAAGTGTAAAAAAAAAAAAAAATCTCGAGTCAACTAGCTCATTAATATGGCTAATGAGGATTTTTTAAACAAGGATTTTTTAAACAAGTAGAATAAAAAGGTATTTCAGCAGCCAAATTTATAACAGACAAGTTATAAAATGAAGAACCCATCAACTATGAGGGATGCAGAAGAGTCCTGGGCCCAATATGCCTCCTCACTTAAATTGTAGTGGGAAACAAGCAAGGTCATGAATTTTATGCATCTTTCACAACCGTGTATTAATTTGACTTTTATGAAGTGACTTGATGGTTAGGATACAAGACAGGACAAAATTTAAGCAGCACATCAGCCTTCATTTGAATATAGCAAAATCAATTGGATATTGATGAGAAGAAAAGGCTTAATGTAAAGTTGGTATTTTAATCTGGTAAGAACCACAAATTAACAGTTGTAGCTATGCCAGAGATCCTTTTAAAGGACAAGGTAGAAAATTATAGGTTTGATTTGTGTATATCACTTATAAATTAAAAACAAAGATTCTCCACTTTGGACTGGCTTACAGATATAAAAAGGAGAGATTCATCTTTTACAATCAAAGTATAATTTAAGCAAAAAAAAAAAAAAAAAGTTGTATATTCATTGCAGTTAATCCTGAAGACACTTTTCAATGCACATAATCCCACCGATTCTTGTAATTTCAAATGGAACTTAAATACATAGCCAAAACACTGTAAGCAAAAAGTGACATTCATTATAAATAAAATTTGCAATGTTTTACAAATAGTCATGGCAGTAAAATTTCATTTAAATTTGGTGAGGAGAAAATGTTTTTTTTTCACTTCTAAGATTTCAGTCATGGAATGATCAAGAAGGAAATGAAATATTTTGATGTTTTCTCAGCAGGAAATATTGTGATTGTTTAAAAGAAAACATTTGATAAGTAGGTAAGACAACCTAGAATAGTGGAGGAACAGCATTATATGTGGCTACACACACATTTCATCTTTACAAGTTCAGGCAAAAAAGATGAAACCTATGCATTATAAGAGTTTTGTACATGACAATAATTCCACCTATTTCAGGAAACAGTTCATACCCTGTATTGACAAATAGTGAACAGGTGAGTCCTTATTTTTACACGAGTTGGCTATTATGACCATTTGTATTGCCATGGTGTGCTCTCATGGTTTCTAGAATTAGTGCCAATTCTTTGTAGAGTAGAATTTTGATTTCTCTGCAACTTTATCTCAAATAAAATGAACCAACTCTAATCATTTAAGAATGAAGTTTCTGTAGAAGCATTGGTAGAGGTGTGGGTGAAGATGTAACTCCAGGCGTTGGCCGCACATGGGCAGGAGAGTCTTTGTGAAAAATACCTGAAGTGAGAGAAAAGTAAATGGAGATTAATTTTTGCATGAGAAGTGTGTGTGTGTGGGGTTAAGTGAGGAAATGTGGCAGTTACTTACCCACAAGAATTCCAGCCAAAATTCCAATGAACATACAAACTGCAATAATGATGAAAATGTTCAATTTTATATTCTTCCAACGAGCTTTCCTTCTTACTTCAACAGCACATTTTTGGAAACGGATTGCATTATTACCCAAGTTAGCTGGAATTCAGAAGGAAAATACTTTTAATTGCTTTATTAATTAGAATTAAATTTGTAAAATCTATAAGAAATACACAAAAAAAAAAAAAAAAAACACCCAACCAACCACACCTGGTATAGATTACCAAAGTTAATGCAATATATATATATATATATATATATATATATATATATATATATATATATATATATATATATATATATAACATTACTAAAACTTAGGACCCCTAATGAAGTTACTGCCTTTATAGTTTTGCTAGATTTTAGGAAGGAGATTGGGCTAATAACAATAGTGCTAATTGATTCTATATAAACAGTTAACTACTTCAAAAGCTGGTCTATATCCAGAAGCGATTGCTGCGTTTTATATGTTGAATTCAGATGAGTACAATTGAACAAATTAAAAGCTTACAATTGATGAAGAGCACCCAGAATAGGGCAACTGGAGGAAAATTGTTTTGCTATCAGGAAAATAGTAGACTTCATCATTTTACAGACCTGACTGGAATGTCTTACTATACCTGACCTTGCACTTTCAAATTAACACTTATTTCAAGTACTAGAAAATTTTCTTAGGAAGAAAAATTCTCTAGAAGCCTGTAAAAACCATATTTCAGTGAGACAGATGGCACTTTTAAGAGTATGGAATAATGAAGTTGTGTAAAATGGATTATCTCTTTTTTAGGTTTGGATAAGTGATGTTTGGAAGTTAACGGACCCAAGAATTTTCTAGCACCCTCCTCACCTCATTTTCTAACTGGAAAATTTTGTATTGCCTAGTTCTATGCAGCACTGCAATTTATAATACAAGACTGAGGTTCTATTTAATGCTAAATTAAAAGACAATCTGAATTCTATAAGTTTCATAAATAATTAAAAACAGTTAAGTTTCATTCTCAGTTTTTCATTGCATGCACATGGTTCCAGCTGTATTCTGAAGTCTTGCCAAACAAAAACAAGACAAATTAGCCCTAATGACAACAGAAAAAATAAATATAAAAAATGCTGAAGTAAACTATTTTTGCATAATTCAGTCAGCAAATTAATTACTTACAGAATACATTAACATTCCCAAGATACCAGGTCAACCAAAAGCAAATACCAAGTTTAGCAAAAAGGCAGAAAGTGATGTACATTTACAGTGCTTGAAATAATATAGAATAAGCTAAGAAATCCAGGCCACTTTAGAGGAAGTAGGAATATGTCTAACAATTTGGTCCAAAGAATTAAACTTTTTTTAATTATTTTAAAGCTTGAAGTAAATGTACTTAAATATGAAAAATAAGTCAGGAGTCACTGAAGTTGATCAGTGATTTAGTAGTAAATAACATCAATAAAAGTCTTGAAGACCAGAATTGTGGGAGGTTTATACAGAAACTGACACCCCCCCCCAACAAAAACTTGTTTCATACAATTCACACAAGTGAGTTTTGCCACAGCTGTCAAGTCACAAGGACAATCTTAAGATGACTAACCAGCTTTTGCTAACACCTTGCTGTATACTAAGAAGCCCTGTTAACTTTTGTTTTGCCCATCAATATTTTCACTAATAGATACATTTCATGAGTAAAGGTAATATTTTTCGCCTCCTTGAGCAATACCAACTGTATACTTGTAGGTTTAAATTATAGTATCACACTATTTTGTTATAAGCATATTTTTTTTTTTAATGTTTTCATTTATATATTCAACTTAAAACAAAATTGTACAGCATCATTCAAACCACAACACCATTATACTAGAGAGGAAAAAAGCCCTTATCTAGAGATTTCAATCTCAAAAACACTTGAGAACTATTAAAGTAGCAAAAAG